ATGTGCTGGTTCTCTTTTTGCTATCTCAAAATAAATCACCATACAACTCTAATTTTCATTTTATCACCAGTTTACACAGTCCGCTTTAGCAAGGTCAATTGGTAACTAAAGCTTGATAAACTAAGATGTTAGTATTTTGGCTAAGTATGCCAGTTGGGATTACTTCCATTTCGAGTAGAAGTGTTGGGTGAAGAGATTCGAAGGTCGGTTCCACCAGAAACCCAATTTTTCTTCGTATAAGTATGCCAGGCCTTACTGTCACAAACAATGGCGAGTGCATACTAGGAATAATTGGGATCCGACTAATCTAGAAGGATACTATTGTTGGCTGTTTGGCTTTAATACCACATACAACTTGATGTAGTCCAACAGACATCCTCCTTCGTTTTGGGCGAAAACGAGCTGAGCTTTTGTTTCATCTGACCTAATGTTAATATGAGACTTTAACAACAATGGGTTCCAGGTCTGATGATGGATAAAAATTCAATCCGTTTTCACTTGACATGAGGGAGGATGTCTTGTGGACTGCACTAACCGGAACAGCATATTTAAGCCAAATGACTGCATTACAACTGGAATCAGCCGTCATCTTCTGGTGAGATCGACCTTCAAATCTCTCCTTCATGCACTTTTATACGAAATGAAATTCTCCCCAACGATAAAGGAAAATGAGTATATTGACGTCTAGATGCCTTTTTTTCAGTACGTTTGTTATACTACTACTATTGCTCTTAACCACATTATTTATACATACACGCATAATTTTGTCTTTGTGCCTCTTTTTGCATCGTAAACATTGGTTTTCTATGTCACAATCTTTAACCTTTATTCATTTTTCGCAATAACAATCGAAACTAATGCCTCCATTCGTAAACTCGTGAACACTTGCAGCAAATTGTTCCGGCGTTCCACCATTCTGGGGACTGGAGTCGATGAATCGGTGTCCTTGAATCGAGGCCAGACAGCCGGTCCGCTAGGGGGTTATGCTCATAAGCCATTCGCGGCCTCTTCTTGTCGAACGCCTACTGGAGAGCCGGACTCTTACCAGCACCATCTTTACGCTCATCAATCCCACCATCCCCACCAACAACAACAGCAGCAACACCAACTTTTCCAGTCTCAATCCCCTTCCCCCGTATCTCTCGGTGGAGGCGTTGGAGGTGGCCACATCCCTTCTGCCTCTTCAACTGCTTGTCCGTCCGCTTCTACATCGCAATCTCAACATCATGATCAGCACCACGTTTCTTATTGCTACAACCAACACCAGCAATTCCATGCTCAACCAGGCCCAATCCATTCTCTGGCTGAGCCTAATCCCAGCCAGGGCTACAACATCCACTCGTATACCAGCTCCACTAACCTTGGCCAGCCAACACTGAGTGCCCATCGTTATAGCCAGTCAAACCATCCCAGTGGCATATCCATTCCCGGTTGCGAACCGATCGGCTGTCACTTGTTACATACACAAGCCGGGCCGCTAGGTCCCACGCTTGAACTGGACAAGATCGGCACCTCAGCAACTTCGCCATGTCGCGGCGGATCACCTGCCACTGGCACTGGAGGATTTGGTTTTCTTGGTGGCCGTGCAGGTGCAGCTGGCTTCTGCAGTAACGGCACCAGTGGAGTAGGCGGGCTCACACGCAGCAGAAGCACTGTGGCGCCTCGGAGACACACTTCAAACTTAAGCGCCTTCTTTACTACCCCAAACAGTGGTAGTGGTGAGAGTGGGTCTAGGACCAGTAGATCCTCAAGAGGAGATCATGTTTCCTTGAAATCCGAAACTATTTCAGGAGCCACTGCACTCAAACCACCTGGGCTTCCACCCTTAGGCCAGCCGGAAGAACTGGACGACGATGAGGTTGAGGAAGAGGAAAAGGAAGCAAGCAGAGAGGAGGGCCATGGAGGCGACATAAAAGTGGCAAAGTATGAGGTGAATACAAAACGGGAAGGAGGGGAGGAGAGCGAAGACGAATTCGGCGAAGCGAACGAGGAGGAAGGTGAAAGTAGGCACGAATGTCGAATTCTCTCTGGTCCAAGTGAACGTATAAGACGCGACAACGTAACTGTTACCAGTCGAAGCTCGCATGTAAAGAAGTCGGCGCCCTCGCATCCTGTTTGGTCAGTCGGTGGAAGAGGCGAGCAAACTAGTCGCCCCTCTCGGCGAGAAGCCTCCGGATCCGTATCGCGTGGTCGACGACACCAGCTGCTAGCTAGACGACCCTTGACTGAAGAGATCGAGACCGAAACTGGTACCTTTGGCAAGTCTGTGTCAAACTGGAGGCAGGCTCCGGCAACAGTGGGATCTGCTAGGCATTCTTCGATTGACTTTAATGACAATTCCCTTCCGGGCGTCGCTAACGGGCCTGGCGCCGTTATTCCGACGACTGCTAATCCTATTGAGCTTGCCTCCGCCTCGAATCAGCTATCCCCTTTAAGTCCTTTGGGTCGTTCTGTGTCGCCTTTGGTCTCACAAGCGATTTCTATGTCAAATGACTCCAGCTCCATTTCCTCAGTCATCAATTCTACCACAGCCACCTATGCTACACCTGGAGTTGTCGACAGAAGCCGAGCATGGCCTCGAAGGTCAGTCCACTCAGATGGAGACCGCACTGCGGGGCATGAACAATTAAAACCTCTACTAATGATGGCTGCTCAACCCGGGGAAGGACAGAAACAAACAAGTAAGCTTTTTTGTCTTTTAAGAGCCGGCTTTTCCTATTTCTCCCACTTCATATGTTTTATTTATTTGGTCAGCAACATTTCGAGCTAGCTCTAGAACGTTGGGTATTTACATACAGCTCATTTTTAAATAGAGATTTTATAAATA